CTACCATTTAATTTAAACAAATTTCTTCCATAGACATAGCGAGTACGATTATTTATGGGACTGAACTTATATCAATTTTTGTAAGAACAATATGCACTTTCAATTTTCATATACAGTACAATTTTCTTGAACTTATGACTAACTTATCTTCATCATAGCAAGCCACTTCTTTTGTTAAAGTGGCATTATTATATAAATTTCTAAAATAAACGAGAATGCTACATCTTCGAAAGGTTTTTATTTTTAGTTTTCTTTAATTTCTTAGGGGGATATTATACTTAAACACTGTCCACGATTTAAGTACACGTACAATATAGGAGAGAATTACAAAAATCGTACCACTTATGCAAATTACTTACTGCACCATATGGTTTAACTGCAGGAGTCATATGGTACGCGTCTTACTTTTTCAAAGTAAGTATTAATGAACCTTGTCAAACGAATGAAGATTATTTTGATGCTTATAATTAGATCTGTAACTGCGTAAACGTCACAAAAAATGACAGGCCCATTATTCATGGCAGTGTTTCTCAAATTAGGACTCGTGGACATCTGGGAGTAGCCGTAATTGAAATCTGAATAAAATTAATTTGTTAAGAACAAACTTAAAGAATTGTTGAATCAATGAAACATACATGAAATTGGATTGGAGCATTACTTAGTAATTCAATACAAACACGTTTTATTTTCGCGATTTTGCCAAAAATCGTGTATTAGGCAATGAATGAAGAACATCGCCGAACACCACTGATGCCTAACGTAGAATTAAATTCGTATTGAACAACTGGCACTCTCGAGCGAGACTTAACTGTATAACGCTGGTAACGTTATACGAATACCGTATTTATCTCCGATCATCGCATGTTATACAATATAGTAGTACGAGCGACGTAAAATACATTTGAAATCCGTTACACGGGTCATTTTGTAAACAAAACAATTCTAAACGGATTCATGATGGACTGCATTCTTGATACGTCAGTTTATTAAGAATTAATTACTTCCTTTGGAGCACTTGATTTGTTGTCTAGTGTTTTTTAATTACTTTGTGTCTCATTATTTACATAAACACTTTAAACATTATTTAGAGTACATGAGGAAATTTTGAATGAATGTTTTGAATTATTCTTTTAGGGCTGTGCAAAAACAAGGAACAGATAAAAATTGCAAAATTATAGTATGCTTGATTCTGCTTTTAAATATCCTTTCTGCTCGAAAATAATGAAATTCCTTTGTTTCTTTTTTAAATATCTCAACACTCCTACTCTAAAAAAGCGAATTTTTTCTTTTTCTTTTAAGAATCCCACGTATACTTTAAAAAAAAGTAATATTAACGTTACCAACGTTACCACTTAACAAACAATTAAATATATTTCTTTTCTTATAAATATCCCATCACTTCACGATAATATACATAAATTTTTAATTACTTTTCTTATAGTGACCGAATTATCCAGACAATGATTCACATTCAAACGTAACACTTGTGGTGTTTATTTTGCAAGTCACTAAAATTGTTGGTACTTGCTTAAAACGTGTACCTTTTTCAACAGCCGCTTCATCGACAAATATATCCATGACGCTGAAAAAAAATAATTACCGTGAAACGAAACTATATGGAAAAAAATCGCGACCCGTGCGAAACAAGTTCATCGCAAACAACAAATCAAGAAGATTCTAAAGTATCGTGCTTCAAATTTAAACCATACATTTATTTACTGCGTTACATAGCCTTCGTCCCCGAAGAATAAACATTCTTGTAAATACTACGTGACTATATTGAAATGATTATTGATCGCATGTGTCAGTGCTCACAAGAGAGGAAGGTCTCCGTCACTTTCTACTTCTGAACACTTCGAATCCTGTCTAGTCAGCTGTCCCTAATGACTGTTAAATACGTCATAGCTCGTGATTAATATTCTAGACCAGTGGTGCACAAGGTCCTTCCCGCGGGCCAATCCCAACGTTTCATCAAGTTTATCCAGTGGAATAAATAAAGGTATAAACAAGAGCAAAAGCTCATAGGTAAATTTAAGAATTGAATTAATAAATTACTGTTCGACAGTGCAGTGCTTTTAATTTTTTTTATAGATACGTAAATATCAAATACAAACAAAGAAATCAACAATCAAGAAGAGAGTGAAGTAAGCATGTTACTTTTTTAACGTCTAAAATGTTCAAATCAGGTCAAAAGTGTTTCAAGAATTCGAGATATTAATACAAAATTTAATATAAAACCTTTGTACTGTAGAACTTGAGTATTTTATTTTTAACTAGCAATGAACATAATTTTTACTCTTTCAAGGTTTGACCTGAAGTAATACCAGTGGTCCAAATAATAATAATAAAATTAATTTATGTCCATTACTCCAAACACTAAATATTTTCCATTCCCTTAAAAAATTCCCAACAAGAAAGCAAAAGTTTGCTATTATATTTAGAATATTATTTTATTATATTCATCCAAATATGTATCCAAATAATAATAATAATAATAATAATAATAATAATAATAATGAAAAAATTGATTTCTATCTATTACTCGAACCACTAAACATTTTCCATTTCTTTAAGAAACTTCCAACAGGAAACCCAAAATTTTCTATAATACTTAGTATTATTTAGAATCATTTTAACTTATTTTATTCTACTCTGTGACGAAAAAGATTGCACGCCACTGTTTGGAACCGACCCTCAGCATCGTTTCTCGCGAGGTAAAGGGTAAACGAAGCGCAAAAAGCTTGAAAAGAAGTCGCGTGCAATTTATTCGCGTTATATCTTTTCTTCTTATTCGTGCTTTTTTTGTTCCACTGTTTCCACGGCGAGCGATGAAAAGGCAACGATTTCGTGTCCAACGTAATTGAATAATTCCTACCTACCACGCTCCTCCATGTATACTTCTTCGGCAATGATCGAAATCCTGTGTGTCACGGTGGCTAATCATTGTCGCGGAACAAGTTTATTTCCACACTCTGATTATGCCGCGACGGCGTAGGTTATATCTAGAACTATTTTGAATAACAATTTCCGTCCCGATTCGAAACGAACGAACGCCTCGGGGCGAGAAACGTCATTGGGTGGAGATCGAAATCCTGAGGCGGTGCTTTTGTTGTACAGAGAAAAAAAGAAATAAGAAGTTAACAACACCGAGTTATTCTTAACGAACGTTTAAAGACATAATTAGAGCAAGAAAAGACAGTTGAATAAATTTAAATAATGTCGCTAATCACTTTACAAATTATGTAAGCATACCTGTATCAGTTTGGAAAAAAATACTCTACATAATTATGCATTTATGCAACGAGGTTTTGTATGATAGATTGAGCCAAACACGCGTGCATCTTAATATGATCAGATAATAGCAGCCGTGATAAATTAGCTATTGTCATTGCTACAAATAGATATTTTATGCTGATAGGCAAAATTTCATTTCAGTAACAGGTTACAAGTAAAAGCAAGCTGTAATTGTTTGGACATTGGAATAGTAGTAGTTATGTTTGGCAGTTACAGGAAGATAAAAATTTGGTTTTCTTTTTGATGTTTTAATCTTTTATACAAGTATATGGATATTATCAATGTACCGCGAATGTTTATGTCAATTGATATTTTTATGTACACGGATGAAGAACAGAAATGTGAATTTAAATATGTTTTGTCTTTTAAGTATTGTAACTTGGATTTTATTTTTTATATTTTATATATTTATCCATTTGTACATATCTTTGTGCATTTTTGTATGTTAATACTTTCCATAGATGCATAAATATCCGCACGTCTAGTTATCAGTAATTTTGCAGATTTATTTTGTCTTTTGTTTTGCTCCTATGAGTGTGCAAAATAGTTTAATAGGAAACTTGAATATTATTTTATTATGTCGAGCAAAACAGCAGAGTCAATTAAATTCATTAGTTATAATAAGGATAAAGTAGTATGATTCTCGTCAAGTATAACATCCATAGAAGCAATTATAAAAACATAATGCCAAGGAAATAGTAGAAAATTGCAAAATTATAGGAAAAACTTGTTCTTCTGTTGTTTTTATAACTTTATAATTTTCCATTGCTTCTTCGTATCACAAATAGTTCTTTGTTTACGACAATTCCATCGTAGGAAAGGTAATTTCATTCCAGATGTGTCCTTGAATATATCTTTGAACATAATAAGCAGGAAACAAAAATGACTCTAGTTCTTGCAAATTTCTTAATCTTAATGATTATTTGATAGAATTTACACATATTTTGAACGTGAAATAATGATGTACCTAGCTCAATATTTTCCTTTTTTCAATTTTGATTACTATAATTGTAAGTCTCTTAATTTGTTCATTTCCGTCATGTTATTTAATTTGGTAGCACAGTTGATACGATTCTGGTGAACTGAAGAATTAAAAGAATTGAATGACATTAGAAAAATGAAAATTATCTTCACTATAACAAAAATAAATATTAACAAGTAATGTCAAACATTATAAATAAAATTCAAACTGCAGTATATTCTAAAGATGTACAAGATTGAGAATCATGTCGCGAGTAAAATAGAAAATATTCCCTCACCCTGAAAGATGAGCCATTTAACCCTAGCAAAAAAGAAGTCAATATCTCCATCGATGTCTAAAAACTAAACCAGTTTGTAACACTTAACACAGGACACCCTATATAATACACATAATACACTACATGTAAATATGTTACATTATCAATTAAAAAAAAAAAAAAGGAACAGCCAGTATTTATAGTACTGTATCAGAATCACTCTACGCGTATCAACTTTTCATTTAAATATTCCCCAGCGTCTTCTCACGTTTTCACGCAACGAGATTCCTGGCCACGCTGTACTACGAAAAGCAATATCACTAAATTTCAAATAGAGGAAAAAGAACCGTCATCGTTTCAACCCTTAGTGCGCTCGTTAAATTACGAAGCTTATTACTCGGCGCTACCATTACTACCGGGGCTACCATCCGTACGGATGAAAGACAAACAAGACCCCAACGATCCGTGTACTGTACACGCTTCCAGCTTTATTATATAAAAAGGAAAAAAAAAAGGTACGCGACGCACCGTACAGCAAAGGTGCGCGCGAAACTGTACACAATGCTCCGTTGACGCTTCGCTGTCGACTACCCTTGTTTCTCTTTTTCTCCCTCTCTTTCTCGCTCGCACGCATCCACACTCACTCTCGCTCTCATTCAGAGATACTTTAAATTATCCACCTTCGCAAGGGGAACGTCGCCACTTGCCCAACTCGGAGTCAGGGTCGAATTTTGCATGGGTATTTTTAGATGGAGACGTTAAATCTAGAAATTTTTAATTATACATTTTTTCTGCTATTTTTAGCAGAAGGACAATCTTTTAAATGTTCGCGTTGGTTCGATGAAATTTTACATTACATGTTATAAAGGATTTACTCGAGTTTCGTATACAAGAAAATTGTTCAAATATTGTTAGAGAAACACTTTGGGGGGAGTTCTTAAATATTGCTACAGAAATATTTTATATGGGAAAAATGTTCAAATGTCACTTTAATTATTCTTCGTGCAAGAAAAATATTAAAATTATACCGTAGAAATATTTTGAATCGAGAAAATGTCCAGATATGAACACTTTATGCAGGACGACTGTTTAAATATTATAATAGAAATATTTTAAACATGGAAAGTGATAAAATATTACCTTACAAACATTTTACGCAGGAAAAATATCAAAATGTTACCTTAGAAACACCTCATGCAGGAACAATGGTATCATGTGACTATAAAAACATTTTATGCGAAACACGTATTAAATTATTGCTACAGAATTATTTTATGCAAGAAAACTGTTTAAACATTGCTAGAGAAATATTTAAAAAGGTGTTTACAGATACCGTATCTAAGGAAAATGACGAGACATTACTTTAGAAACGCTTCATGCAAGAAAAATGATGAAGTATTACTATACATATAGTTTATGCGAGAAAAACATTTAAATATTACTACAAAAGTGTTAAAACACGAATTTTATTTTGTGCAAGAAAAATATCAAACTATGTATTACTTAAGAAATACTTCATGTAGGGAAAAACTGGAGATATTAATTCAGAAGTACTTTATACAGAGGAAAAGTGAAGACATTAATTCAAAAGTACTTGGTAGAGAGAAAAAGCAGAGATATTGCCTTAAAACCACTTCATGCGTGTACATACCAAAACATCTCTTTGGAAATCCTTTAACGTTAATAATATAATATTAAATCACCAGCGACGCCCTCTTTAAAGCCACACACGCAAACCTGGGGTGTAATATTGTCGAAGTTGGCGTCTCCACCCAAAAGTACCCCCGTATGCAAAGTCGAACGCAATTCAAGGGGGGGACAGGTCTGGACGTTCCCTTGTTAGCAGCATCGCCGACGCGGTCGTCGTTGAATCGATCTTTGTGGGTGGGCGCCCTCGTCGATCCGCGTTTCGCGCAGGACGCCGCGAATCGTCACTGTCTCGCGAATCGCGACGTGCCACGTCGCCTCCCCCATCCCCAATTAATTATCTTAATTGCGACGAACGTTACAAATGTCTCAGAAGGGTACGAGGCGCCCGAATCGTCTTTGCGCTACCCCAGAAACGTTTGCAAAGCGTCGTTCCTGTTTGCTTCTATCGAAACTCGAGACTGGAAGCCTTGAAGAATTTCGTCACCGGTGTCCTCGCCACCGAGTGCTTCTTCCTTAACGCTTAAAACACGGAGTGGAAGCACCGTTTGTTAAATCCTAACGGAAATTTAATACTCGAGCGTTCCAGCGATGAAACGGAAACGAAATTGCGTATAGTCGAGTCCAGCACAAGAATATACATATTTAATATTATCGAGGATATATTTAATACGTATTTAATATTTTTGGTGGTTTTCAGAATTTAATTTTTGTATTCGCTATGCTTGATACGACTGTACATGTTTCTGTTTGAACCTCTTGACACATACAGTCAGTCCTATAAGTATTCGTACCCTTCTATTGAAGAAAGTCTACATTAAGTGGTAAGTTTGGTGTTCTAAATAAATGTTTCATTGTAAATATTTGCATGAATAAATTTCATACATTTGTATATTTATAATGAATAATTCATTTAATAACATGAAACCTATCATTTAATTCAGGCCTATGGGACTGATTGTATGTGTACGTTTGCTTTTTTATTAAAATTATTATTACTTACGATCACATTACCTTTTGCAATCTCGCCGAGTTTATATTCATGCAAACTGTATAAGCTATTTCTTCATTTTTTGGTCGAATATATTTTGTATCAAATATACAAGATAATACGATTGAAAATTTGTATACTGTTCGACGAAAGAATTATTCAAGACCTCCGTGTTTTAAGAATTAATAATGTATCGTATCGCGCTTAAAATGTCATGCTCGCTACTATCTACACTGATTAAAGTAAAGTACGTAATCAATAATCACCCAACAAGTTACAGTACCAACTATTACACGTAACACTACCATCTATACATAAAAAAGAACGAAGTTTGAGAGGTTTATCCACCGACATCGAACAAACACTTAATCCCTCGGTAAGATTTTTTTAAGAAAATCCTCGAGTCGACGAAATTTATACGAATGCTTATTTCAGGTATCGCTGCCACCAGATCCTCCAAAGCAATAGTGTCTTCTTGCGTGCACTCGTACCGTACTAAATTCCCACGTTTGCGAATTAATCTCTTATGCTAGGGATTATATATTAATTGTCACTCCCTGCTGTTTGCTTTGTTTATTCGTTTATTTACTTTAGCCCGCCGCTCCGGACATGATTCTAGTGCCATTTCTGACTAAGGACTGCAACTGCTGCGCTGCTCCCTGTAACAGGTAAGAGTTCAAACATTACGAGAAACTTGTTTGTGTTAAAAGGCATACTTTTCTTTTTAATTCACTTGATACCCAATTCCGTTAAGTAATCGTATGATGCAATTACTGTTAGGATTAGAGGATTAGAGCAAGAGTAAAATTTCATTGTGCACAGCGTTCACGATTTAGATCATTAATATAACGATGAATAAAAAATCACGATATTAATATAACGATGAATAAAAAATCACTTCGACTTTGACAGAGTTGATTTTTCAAATTTCATCGGCACATCAATTAGAAATATGCTCTATTATTTTCTGAATACTTTGTCTATATTAGAGTAAGTGAAATATTGAATAAGTTTATTAATACATGAAAAATATGGATAAATAAAATTCTAGTTAGAAATTCTCTACTATTCTTGAAGATACTCATGCAATTTGACATTCACTTACTGATGAAATTTATGAAATGATAATGTTAAGAGGTCTTAATGTAAATAATAAGTAATACAGATCCTAATATAAATAAGAATTTTTGTTAAATGTCGATGCAAATTCTAATATTCACAGATACAAAAAGTGAATTGAAACCTAAATGAAAGTATGTGTTATTTTCGGAACGGTGTAACATGGGTATTATTTTAACATATTTGTACATATTCTCAAACAGACATTCCCAAACTACCATTTGCCATAAATTCATAAACAATCTTAGTCTAAATAGTAATACTTTTATGTGTTGTAATCCGTTGATCCGTTGACTTTCGGTACTTTTACCATTAAAACGAAAGTAATATTTAATAAAAAAAAACTTCTAAACAAAAATGTCGTTCCTCCACGCATTCATTATTACATGAACTGTTCATTGTACAAATCGATTAATTGCATAAAACAAAAAGTTGAGAAATGCGATAAAATAATATGCATTGTTCTTTAAAATTCCCTTTGTAATATAACAAATAAAAATAATAAATGGTGTTAATCTTTATTATTCAGGGGAGTTATTACAAATATAAAAAAGTATAATTATACCAAGTGCTTTGACACTTAAATATAAGATTTTTCAAAAAGTGGAGTTATTCCACTCAGATCAACCCCAGAAATGTTAAAGTAAAAGTAATGCTTAACACTTTATTTACCGGAAGCCTATTTATAGGCCTTTTAATTCCAGCATTTAACTTTTCGAATTTATTTACTGTGTTGATGGTTGTCTACTTACAATGTTCAGTTTTTGGAAACAGACTTGGCTTTCAATGTACCTAGTAACAGTATGGAGAAATTATTGCCAGCCTAGATTGCTATATGCTACTGTAGAAGATTCTTTTTTCAATTAAAGACTGTTTCTAAATAGCCCGGTAGATGAAGTGTTAATAAAGATCCTAAACAATAAAATAATAGAGTCTACTATTTTCCTGTATCTCTACCAAATGCAGTTGTCCCTGCATTTTCCCCTCATCGCATGTCCAATCAATACAAGAAATAAATAAAAAAAATAATTAAAATGAACCAACTTACGCTTAGGGCAGCGCCAAGAAACTGACTGAACGCTCTGGTAGCACCAAATAACGCGCCGGTTCCAGAATTCTCGCCACCGAGCGACTGTACCGGTGAACCGTAATTGGAGAAGGAACTGAAGAGGGGAGGTGGATATGTCGAGCTCGGCGACCACGTTGTAGTGCGTATCCTTGGTCCTGAGGTTGGTCTCGGTGTCACCGTCTTTTTCGTGGTATCCGTAGGTCGAGTTGCAGTCGATGGCGGCCTTGTCGTAATTGTCGTAGACTCGGTATACGGGGATGCGGTCGGAGCAGAGGTGACGCTCTGCCCGAGGCTCTGTTACAAGACGAGCAATTATTTCCTTTTATCGCGATCAGTTTCTTGTTACTTTGTACTTTGACCGCGTGGCTTGATCAAGTACCTTTTAAGTAACTTCCACCGTGCGCGTATCGATTCGATTATAGTTTATTAAGAGGCGCGCTCTATAAAATTGAGTTTCAGGACACGTAGATTGGGGGGGGGGGGGCAACTATGGGCAGGCTTTGGAGAAAGTGCTATATGATCTAACAGTGGAGAGGAATATTAATGATAATGTAACGCGGAGGTGTAATGAGGAAAGTAAGAGTTCATCGACATTGGCCAGGTTTGGTGTTGTAGGCAACCTGCAGTCTTGAGAACGGATGTGGGGTATAATGGTAATGAAAGAATAGTTTCTTGTTTAACTACTGCCAAAAGTAAATTTAAAATTTTTTTCTGTGGTATATTATATTCATTTCGAAGTAGTACTTGATGTATTATTAGATTATTATCGATAAATACTTGTTTGTTAGCTACAGCTCTATAATTGTTACATTTATTGTTAATTGATTCATATTAAGTACCATTTCTATTCACAGGATATTTGCAAAAATTTATTTATACATCACATAACGTTTAATTGCATTTGTTCCCACCATTTTCATAATAAATTATATTCAGTGGTTATTTTCTTGAGTCTACTAGTCAATTTATGCAAAAGTTTATGCTAGTGTTATTTGTTATTTGAAACTGGATGTTGTGTAACTGCCTCGATATTATCAGATATTTTTAGGTGTTATGGGCATTGGTATTAGTCATTAATGTGAACAGTATTCCCGGCTAATAGTGGCTATATGGTTAACACTTGTGGCTAGTATTATTTGTTATTGTAAACTAGATGTTGTGTAACTGCCTCGATATTATCAGATATTTTTAGGTGTTATGGGGATTGGTATTAGTGATTAACGCGAACAGTACTCACGGCTAACAGTAGTTGCTCTCTAATATTGGTCGCAGGAGTCTGCGGCTCTATCCCTTGAGCCTTTAACAGTGCCGCCAACAAGGCAGCATTATTGATTTCATTTGACGGCGCGGGAGTTGTCGTCGTGAGAGCTCGCCCGCTTAGTATCGCTCTCAAGAAAGATTCATCGTCCTGAGATAAGCCTGATGACGTTTTCGGGACACTAGCTTTATTTTCTGTAAGAAATACAACGATACCAACAGTCAGACGACACACGATGAATTTCAATAAGTAGTATAACAGCTGAACGTAGACTTGGCGACCATCTGAAAGTCATACAAATTACAACGAACCACGTCTGCGAAAGTCTTAAGTCTAACGTTTGTTCACCTCTACAAAATGTAGAATTAACTCAAGATTTGTGTAGGATGAATCACCTGACTTAAAAATATAAAATGTAGTTTATTTAGAACCTTGAGATTATGAATTTTGGTTATTACAATTCACTCCTATCTATCTGGTACAAAAACTTTGGATAATGATTAAAGTCTCTATTATGTAGTTTCTGAATTGCTGATAAATGATGTGACATTTCCGAATATGAAGAATATGTTTGATACTCTACATCAGGGCTTCTTAAACTACATATAAGTCGCGACTTCAAATGGGGTCGGTTAGCTAAATCTTGGGGTCGCGAGATTTTAATGTAAAATATTTAATATTCCCCTCAATATTCTCTTTTCTTTATGTTATCGCAAAAAATGCAGTTTTGATGACTAATAGGGTATATAATTTTTGTAACTGTAATAAATACAATTTTACAACTTTCTGTGCAATTTTTAATTACACATCTTTCTATGTTTTTAAACAAGTTCTAAAACTATATTTTTTCATACGTATATACATTGTTACCCAATCAATAAATCGTCACAAAATATTTACATATCTATATTTTATATTTTTTGGATCGTGAAAAAAATCACAATCATAAATGGGATTGTGAATGAAAAAAAGTTTAAGAAGCTCTGCTCTACATAATTTCTGATTTTAAATGTCCTTTGTCGATCTTCAAATTAATTGTGCAAGTCATGGTAAACTGGGCCGATGTTCAATGCATAGTTTAAGAGAAATACTTAATTTACAGGTATCTCAGAATATATACACTTCAGTTAGTGAAAATGATTAAGCTTTCATTTATCTTGGAAGCATGTCTGTACCATTCAACTATAAATAAAAATATAGCCTAACATAGCATAAAAATATATTTCTTGTTTCTATGCGTCTGAATCAAACTAGAGTTACTTTATTCATAAAAATAGTAGACTGTCTTAAAAATAAAGCCTAATGAAGAATTTAATTTCATGTGACAAAGAATCTGTCACTCATAGAATCTTCAGACAGACGAATCATCCAGTACACCTAAAAACTAATCGCTCTACGTATCTTTACTAACCCTGTTGAGCGGCACGCAACAGTGCAAGCAGGAACTTAGTGTCATCTTCGGGCGAGATCGTCGACATGGCAACATTGGGCAACCTCGGATTGGGATTGTTCAGCAACTGAAGCTTAGTCGTTGATATCGAGCTGGGAGTAGTCGCCGATATAGTATTCCACGCAACAGAATTGGGGGTGTTCACCTCGATCTTCGAAATATCCACGGACTTGAACGTCGTAGTCGTAGGAACTGCTTTAGTAGTCTCTGGCTTCTGCGTCGTTTGAACAGGCTTTGGCGTAATATTAACAGATTTTGTTGCGACCTTTGCCTGTTTCTGTTTGACAGGCTTTGGAGTGGTTGGTTGCGCGAAGAGGCCACCGCCGAAGAGAGCCTGCCAGAGGCTGGCGCCAAAACCTAATGGCGCTTGGGTAGTGGTCCTAGGTCGCGGAGTAGTTATTGTTTTGATTGTGCTAACTACGGGAGCCTTGGTGGTGCTTATCAGTGTCGATCTGGATGTGGTCGAAGCGGCTGTGCTCGATTCCACAGTTCTCTTCGTGGTGGTGGTTGAACTTGGTGTCCAGGTCACTTGCACGGGTGCCACGCTATTCTTCGCTGGATTTTCAGTGGTTTGAGCCGTTGTCTGTTCCCACGAGGGTCCAGCAGAAGTCGACGACGGGGACAAGTCGATCACTATTGGCTCGTAAGGTGTCCGTAGCGTGGACTGAAGGATCGTGTTTGGCGACGCGCTGTCGAGGTTTATTGCTTTTTGCGATCGAGTTGGTCCTGGTTTGTTCAACGCCAACGACAGAATCTACAAATTAAAGATGACTTTGTGAACATTTGATTTTAGAAGTGAATCGAATATTTATACAAGTTACATTTGAAAGGGAATTTATTTATTTACTTTTTGTAAATATTTGAAATATTTCATTTTTGACGCACTTGTTTGAGGATTTTTTTCCTTGGAAGCTAATAATTGTATTATCATGTGAATATACTCTACGATAGTCAATAATTGCGTGTAACTTTAAGAACAAAAGAATTAATAGCTTTTTTCTTTATAAATTCACAAACGTATTCGTTACTTCGAAGCATTTCAACGTGAAGTCTACTGTATCAATTTCATCAATTATAAATTAAAACGCTATTAGAACCAGTACACCCGAATGAACATCAAATACAAGACAGCTTCGAAAGTAATAACCAACAAAACTAAATTACACATGTACGGTTATCGTCCGATTAAGACGCAAACGTGCTTATCGCTACTGCATCGAGAGCAAGCATCCGCGCGAATCGAATTCTATCAACGTAAATGTTAATGAAAGAAGACATATCGTAGAACCGTTGGGTGGAATAGAGAAGGCCGTCGGCAAGGTTGTTCCAGTCCATTCACCGTGACTGGTCGATCATACGATTGCGATCGTCGTAGATCCGTCATTATGTCTTTCTAAGAAGGGCGTAACGAAAGATAATCACCTATCTACCGAATTTTTCTTCTCGCATGACTCAGACATTTTATTCATACTCCACAGAAACACGAGAAAGGAGTGCTGGAAAATGCAACATTAGCTCGAGAAATAGCAACACTGAAGTTCCAGTGAACTATAGTTCATTGCACAGTTGTGCAAAGGAGTGAAAGGACTGATTAACGACCGCATCGACTCGTTTTCTTGGTTTTCGCCACGCAAACCAAACGATAATTACATCTGTTGTTGATTCATCGAAATTCTCCCTTTTCTAGTTCTTTTCGTGATTAATGTACTGTTTAAAAAATTGAATACATTTTTTAATTGACTGCTGAAGTGTTTTTTTTTTTTTTAATTCACACGTAGTCGTTTTTGTGAATATCATTGAAATTATTTATAATACAAGGTGGTCTAGCAGTGTCTGAACATCTTTTTCTACTTTGAAAAAAATAAAATATTTTCCATTAGCAATTATATGATTTAAAACAGCAATAGATATAATACTTTTGCTACTTTTTCTTTAATGATAGATATATTAAAGTGACCTTTATTGATGTATTTTTTTTATGAAATAAATTTTGGTATACTGATTCTAATTGACTAAACTCATATCGTGTTTTGTATAGTGTTTGTATCAATGATGTATAATGATCTATTGAGTACATCCTGAGTTGTACTTCCGAAGAAAATATGAAATTATTAACGTTTGTTGCGAAAATTTGCATATTTAATTATATATTAAAAATTCACCTTGTTCGCCAACAACTGTTCGACTTCTGTGAGTGTCTTCGGCGTGCTACTTCTGGAGGCACCCTGTAACTGGATAAAATCATCCCAAATAAGTGTGGCCTCGAAGAGAATTAACAATAACATCATCAAAACAACATGATATAAAATGAAAAAATAAAAAATTTGTTTTCTTTTCATTTACCTTACCAAAACTCTGTACTTTAAAATCATTGCAACGAAAAGCATGACATTTCTTTGTTAATTACTAATAAATAGCAAAGATAAAATCTGTTAATTATCACCTTGTAAGAAACTTTAAAAGATACTCTTTAACCTTCTATTGTATAATGTGCCTCGTTAAAAACTCGATAAAAACAACCCCTAAAGTTCACGGTAAAGTTCACGGAGGGAATTTTACAGGATTTGCACATCACCTTTTATTATGTTAACGTTTAATAACTTTGTGGATTTAGAGATAGTATCATCGATCAACCAAAAAAGAAAATTAATGTAACATTTGGTCGATGCACTCTGACAACCATAAACAACCTACTCACCAATGAATTCAAGAAGGCCAGGTCGTTGAATGTGGTTCCAAACGTGTTTTGCTGTTGCGCATTCGTCAACGCATTGTTCGATTGACTAGACGGACTTGTTGCAGGTGAAGGACTAGTTGGAGCAGCTGTTGCAGGTCGCGGCGTGGTGGTAGTTGTAGTTGTAGTTGTTGTTGTTGCAGGTTGCGGCGTGGTGGTAGTTGTAGTTGTTGTTGTAGTTGTTGGCGCCATTGTTGTTGTAGTCGGTGCCATTGTAGTAGTTGTGGGTATGGTTCTTGTAGGTGGCATAGTTGTTGCTGCAGCTGAATTAGCTGATGCCTGAGTTGAGGACAGAATGTTGCCAATCACACTAGAAAACGGGGTAAACACCTCAACGAAGGGATTGATTGGCTGTGGGGGGAATTGACCATTTGCATCTGCCGAATCGTCCTGAAACAAAGAATTATTCAATTAATTTAAACAGATTTTAAAATAAAAAATTACGAGTGGAACGGTTTAGGTGTAAAATGCACTTGCACGTTTTCTTTTTGTTAATGGAGTTATACATTATCTTAAATAAATCGATTCTCTTGTCACCCCACGTACAAAAGTATTATAATAAGATTATCGAATATTTTATGTTTGTCTTCGGTAGATTAATGTTGAAATAGTATTATTCATAATTAGACTGCGGATCTTCAGTCATTTATAGGAAATTTGAATGTGCAAGAAACTCAAAAATACAATGTGCAAGAATATAAAAAAAACATTGAAAGATGAGTCCATATTATAATATTTGCAGAGTAAAATAAATTCCTATTTATTTAATACGAAAAATGAGCATATATGGACTGCGGAGAATCTAACGAATACGAACCAAAGTATTTGAAGCAACCGAAGCTGTTATCACTGGAGAGGCAGTGGTAATTCCAAAAATTTGATCCAAAGGATCCCTCCATGGGAATCCAGGCGGTGCTGTCACTTGACCTGTTGGCTGATTGTTCAAGAGATTTTCGAATGACGGCACAGACGTTGATGCTCCCTCATTGGCACCAGACTGTGTCACGTGATCGAAATACTTAATTAGTATCGAAGAAACAATAGACACTGAACCTTAATATTGTAATTAAATTATATACCATGATTCGATAATAATATTTCTTCGACAATTGTAGAGTGGAAGTACTACAATGTAGTATATTTCTCTCATGTTATAATATATTCCTTCAAGAAAACATAGTTTAAGAGTCTCTTTTTCTATTCTTAAAATTATAGACATATTCAATCCATTTAGTGACTCGTGGAACACATTGCATTTTCTAGATCTGTTAACAGTGACATAAAGAGCCTGGTCATAAACAAATCTAATTTTTTTTATTTTTAACACTTAACCCCTTCAGAACGTACTTCCACTCTATAGTGAATCAACAAAGTAGTGTTAGTAATTGGGTGCTCGTATAATGCGAAGCTATTTATAAAGTATACGTACTAAGGTCCTAAAGCTTTTTGAACTAATCAGTCTTTTGTAGAATAAAAGATCACGAATTATTTTTCAGTCTGGTATCCTCTTACATTAATATACTTGTCGTAATATGAAGCTAACTTATGTGTAGCAATAAAAAATGTTGTCCATCTATGTCTTCCAGATGGTCTAGATCGACTTCTGAATTCTTTATATGGCGTTAGTCTTAACTCATCTATGATATACGTTTGTAACCTGGCATTTAACTAACATTTTAAAATTAAATTAAAATTATATTTCATTATTATATATTTATTTATTCATAATATTTATATTATTTATATTAATTCATACTATATATTAATATATAATAAGATAATAATTTGAAATATTGCTTTAGTGGTCTGGTCAGTTTGTAGATAGAAACAAATATATTTTTATTTTTGCTTCTTTTTTTTTTAGATTTGAGCTATATAAAAATCATTCTGAAAAAGGTGTGGTTAAATTCGAAAAATTGAGAATCCTATAAGATGTTGAAGTCAATGCTCACGTTATCTTATTTCATAATTGCTGTATTAAAAATAACTGTCCAAAATAAATTATTTCAAATACTTATTTCTTATTTTCATTTCAATCAAAACTAGCACAGGTCTGATGTAAACTATTTAGTATAGAAACTTTGTCACATAAACTGACTTCGTTGTACAGGTCCATCTCGTTCAAATTAAAATCAGAAAATCCACCACAATGCCAGCCTACACCTTGCAACCCAAACCGAGTGCTTCAGGACCTTACTAGGTACGAAACGCTTCGTCGAGCCATCGAGGGATTAGAAACTGTTCCAAACTATTACATAAAGTTGCACTCCTCCTTATTGTACTTACAGCTACTGAATTAATATTTACACTGACAACGCGGGGGTTAGTGGCTGGCGCCCCATCGGTCCAATAGTTGACGAACTTGTCCTGAAAGATACGACAATGTCTCGTTGCTTATTTTTTTCCGTTACAGAGATACGTTCGAGCGCTGAAAGAATCAGCCACGGCGTCGTTGTAAATCATGTTCTGTCTCTCTTGCTTTCTTACCTGTCCGATGTACACGGAGCTGCGTTGACCTCCGGCCTCTTTCGTCCTGGTGGCCTCGTCTCTCTCTCGATCTTGGACGATACGACCGCCCTGCGAATCGGTCGGCGGTCGACCGGTACTTACTATCGGCGTCACCGGACCACCGATCCCAGACATTGCACTCGACGGTGTCCCCATTTGCGTATTAAATCGGGTATTGCTCTAAACAGTTCCAAACGATTCGAGTTATTCAAACGTCCATCAAATTTTATTGCGCCGCGGCAACGCTACTTCGAATTATTTCGCAGCGAAACATTGGTCCATTGTTCTGAATGATTTATTGACTGACTGGAAGAGAAGTGTGGTTTATCTTGAAGAATTAATTGTGACGGTCTTGGACACTTAGTAGGACAGCGTAATTTGTTGATCACTTCTTGAAGAGGTTTGCTTAGTCTGGAATTGGGATTATGAACTTGATGATGTTCAGAGATTCTCGTAAAATGTTGTCAAGGCATCAGATCTCTAGGGGATTTAGATTTACTTGACAAGGAAAAGTGTGGTTAAGCTTAAAAAATTAATAGCGATGATCTATGGCCCTTACTAGGGTAATCTACATATTAGGTTGCCCCAAAAGTTTCTTTCGTGAGTTTCATTCAATTATTTTCTGTGGCATTGTTTATATAAATAGACAATCTAATTTCTTAGACATTGATGCTGTAACAGTAATGAAGCGAAGTGAATCGTACACAATTCAGTAATATAACATAAAACATAAAATATTGTGTATATATTAATTATTAATAAAACGAAAGAAACTTTTGGGACAACCTAATAGATCGTTGATTATTTCTTGATGAGGTGTGCTTAGACTGAAGTAAGTATTATGAATTTGACAACGTTTCGAGATTCTCATAAATTGTCGTCAAGATATTAGATACCTAAGGAATATAGATATATGGTAACAAGGATGGTATTTTATAATATATCATGTACGATTTAACGAGAACCTCAAAAACTGGGAAGATTCAACATACAGAAGAAAATATTCAAGGTCTAAGCATTGAATTCAAGGTTTTACGACGGTCTCAATTTTTCGAATTTTACCACACCTTTTTCAGAATAATATTTTTATAACTCAAATCTTTAAAAACAGAAGCAAAAATAAAGATATATTTGTTTCCATCTACAAACTAACCAAACCTCTAAAGCGAGCTATTTTTTCACAAAATATAATAATTTTGTTTCCAGCTACTTCTGATGTATGCAATAGTTCGAAATAACTAAAATAGCTTCCATTTTTTTTTTCATTAATTCATCACCGAATTAATAGTCATGATAATCTGAAAATTCGAATTCGAACATTCAGCATTAGAACAATAAATACAGAACAATCGACCAGAAATTCACTATACTCTACGGGCTACGATAGATCGGTCTTCGGGGCGGGATGACGATCTACGATATACGACTATTTATGAAATCCTATTGTCAAGAGTTTATCGAATACCACTTATACAATAAACTTGTATCACTCCATATTTTCTTGTTCATGAGGCCGGTGTCTGATCTGGTACGCTTGAAATGCAAAATTCAAAATGTAAATATTCAATATATATATATTTGTTATTATATATCCAGAGTCTCGATAACGTGAAATAGCAAGTTCTATCAAACATTGAGTGCGTTTCAAAGTGCACGGTGCATACAAACAAGAAACACGTGGCACACATAGGCAACAATTATTTACACATCTACGATACAACTATATACAATTTCTTTATTACAAAAATGGTGAAGAACGACTAAACGAAAAGTACTTGTGACAAATTGCGTTCAAGTGGGCATTTGATAAATTCTTCTACCGGCGACATTTAATCAAGTTAGAATTACGTTGAAGAGATAATGAAAAAGGAAGAACGAGAAAAGAAAAATTATCACGCAAATATGCCGTGAAAGTTACTACAGTACTTGTATAATACAATTAATAATCACGACATTGGAAAATTAGTTTATTACGTTACCAAAAAGAAACTACTTCAACGAAACCAAAGCGTTAAACAAGAAGCAAGTACGCTGTGTCATTGTGAGCATAAATATCTATGTACAAATAAATAATCTACAAAAGAAGACAAGATAAAATTTACATATATGCTGTGCTTCCTTTGATTTGAACGTGTAGAATACCTTGATTCTTAGATCTGAAGGAAGTCGAAACAGAAAATTGTTCGTGTTGCATAAATAAATATTCTGATAATGGACAATTGTTGGTTTTATGAGCACGTTTAATGAGATTTCGAGGCAATCGACATTGTTTTCAAATAGTATAGATTTCGTGTTTCTATGTGTATTTACATTGATTTTTACATTTTAGAAGATGATTCTCTAAAAAAGAACATTTCTATACCTGACATTAATGAGAGATTTCAAATAATACAAGAAAATATGCAAAACTGTGAAAATACTGATTTATCTCAGTCGAAAATGAATGCAAATTAATAATAACCCTTCTGAACCATTTTTCAGTCATTCGAAGATTAGAAAAATGTTATTGAGCTTGAAATCTCGAAGTCAAAAATCACTTACTCGTTAGAATATTTGTTTCCAGCAAACAAATAATTTTCTGAATTTTTTCCAAAGCATCAAAAGGAACAAAGATATTCTAGACGACCAAATTAACGACCTGTAAATCATTTAAGGAGGTACACGCAGTAATGCAAAATTCAAAAATTTTTTTTCAAGATTTAAATACATATTTAAAGATGTAGTATTGCTGAATTCAAACTAAAAATTTCTTGAAATTGTGATTCTTACCAAAATAACAATGGTTTTACAGAAAAGTCATTTTTCTACTTGCATAATTATCATTTCCCTCAAGCTAAAATAGCAAGTTTTCATAAAAAAATATTCTTCGTCCATATACAAAAAAAAAATGCCCTCTCGGAAATGTGTTGTACCTCACTAATTTTAAAAATAAAATTGATATATTAAGTTCAATACTTGTACTATAAAATAACACTGCTTCGAATTGAAATACGTAGGTACTCAAATCTTAAAAAGAAATCTTTAAATTTTGTCTGTAACATCATTAACCCTTTCAGACCTAGCGTCCACAATTGGGAACAAAATATTAAAAAATTACAGACACTATCGTTTAAGGCGAATGTTCCTATTTGTGCACACGAAGAAATACCAATTTTCCTCAAAGACTACACTATTAGAATTTTTTTAATTTTTTTCCGTACTATTTTTAGTCCAAGTTAACCCTAAAAATTAAATTGCATTAGTACGAGCAAAAAAATATAATTCAAGTCTGAAAGGATTAAAGCATGAAATAGCATGTACGACCTCCAAGCACAACCTTCTGACAGTCTCTCGATTCTCTAACATCCAAATGCAACAATGACACAGTTGACAGAACCAAAGTGGTTATGCGTATAAAAATAAAAATTCGAGAAATCCGTTCCCGAGGAAATGTCGGTCCGACGCGAGCGGTCGCACGGCTAACGATCGATGATGAACAGGTGGAATAAGAGATACCATTTCGTCGGTGCTCGGGGCGCTAGCAGGGGTACCAAGTGGTCCCGTGAAACCGGGTCCACCTCCATTGGGGCCGACGATCGCGTTACCAGAAAGGCCAAGATCAACGGTTCCGGGGCCTTGATACTGATTGTAAGTGCCTTGGTTAACCTGGTTATAATACGGTCTGGGTGGTGGCCTGTTAGTGGTAGTGGTAGTGCTAAGTGAGAACACAACCTCGACCGGGTTCCTAGGCGGATCCGGTATTATCGTCCCGTTCGGGAACTTCCGGACCAGTCTGCCATCCGGGAAGATACCGAATATCACGTACGGGCTGTCCACGTTCCTGGCGTCGATCAGGTTGTCCTCTGGCCGTTTCCTAACGATCGTTTTGTTAGGATAAATTCCGTAGATCAAGTAATCGCGGAGAGGAGCTCTGGTGGTGGAGCTCGGGCTGAATCGCGGAGCTGGCGTCAGTCTGCTGCCCCCGAATCGACCCAAGTATGGGGTCGTGGGAGCTTGAGCGATCTGACCGATCTGAGGTCTAGGTGGCATCGTCATCCCGGATGTTGGCATAGTCGTCGTTCCACCTGCGGGCGCGTTGCTGGTGGATTGGTTACTGGCACTTCCCCCAGGCGAAACGGTAGTTCCTGGAGTGGTTGCCTCGGTCGACACGAGATTCTCGTTTATGTCGACGGCGGTGCTCGGCATCGGAGCTGTTGTTTCGAATACGGGTGTCACGGTGACGACGTCCGTTGTCCTCCCGTCGGGAAGCTGTCCAGTGCTCGACGTGGTCACTGTCGTGGTCGTCGCTGTCGTTCCTGTCGTTGTCTCGACCGATGATGAAGTGGTTGTCATGAGAGAAGAAGAATCGGGAGTAGAAAAAGTGGGGGGTGCGGTGGATGGAGTGGTGGATGGGGTAGTGATCTCGGTCGTTTGGCCGATTCCCGAACCTGCCGTCCCTTGGGCGGTTGTCGATGTTGTATCCTGGAAAGGGGCAACAACAGTTGGAGTTTCGTTCACAGGGTTCGGGGTGGTTTGGGGGATGGTTGTCGTATCACCGGGCATGTTAGTGGTTATTTCCATTGCGGGCAATGTGGTGGTTGTTAGAGGGGATTGGTTAGCGGTAGTCTCTGCCTCTGTTGAATTAACATCCAGCGGGGCCGTGGTCGCGACTGTTGACGTGGTTGCTTCAGAGGTATCGTCACCAATCGTGTCACCGGTCACGGACGCTAACTCTGTCGCCATATCTAGTCTTTGGTTAGTCTCGACATCTATGTTACTTGTTACGTTCTCGATTAATTCCGTATCAGACACCACCGTGGTTTGTTCAACGTTCGATTCGGAGGTTACCGATGGTGTACTAGCGACCATATTTACATTGGAGGGGGTAGTTTCGGGAATCGTGAGGGTTGCGGTTATCTCGGGTTGATTAGTGCTAGTGTCTATCGCAGGCTGCGACGTTACAGTTGTGGGGTTAGTCGATCGTAATGCGGTTTCTGTAGGTTCGGTGACTACTTCCGTGGCTTGCTCGGAAGTTGTTCGAGTCTCGGTCGTTGTGATCGGGTTAGATGTCGCTAGATTGTTGGCGTTAGTGGTTAGTTCGATGTTTTCTGTTGTCTGAGATTGTATCGTTGTGTCGAGGCCCGTTTCGTTAGCGGCCACGCTCGAGAGAGTCATTTGCGGGCCAATTTCTGTCGCAACCGAGGGAGTGGTCGACTCTACGATTTCAGCAAGGGGTCCTAACGATGTGGTTTCATTTGTTTGCGCAACGTCCACTTCGTTGTCAAGTGCGTTGCTTCGAGGGGTCGTAGTGGGCATGTCTGACGTGCTATCAGTCGTAGTCGAATCTACGGAGTCCACCTCGTTCTGGGAAGGGTCAACAGGGGAAGTGGTTAATTCCGACATGTCTACAGTTGATGTCGACTCTACCGGTTCTGTCGTAACATCAGGGGGACTCGACGATGATTCTGCAGCTTGGGTCGTGGCTGATACATCGTTCGTTAAACTAGAAGTGTTATTTTCTACCGTTTCTTCCGTAGCGTTTCTCCCCTCCGATAGGAGCGACTTGGCGATAAACATTAATTCTGTTAGTAACGTGTCATTGGTAGTGGTGGCCATCGAAGCGGTGGTCACTTCGATGTTTACTGCGAGAGTCGAAGAGTTGTTCGAATCGTCTAGAATGTTTGAATCAGTGTTCGAAACTGTTTGAGAATCTTGTGTTGTTGGTGGTGCTGTGGTGGTAGTGGCTGAATTTAATTCATCCTGCGTAGTGTCTTCTTGGTCGGTTGCAGTCGTAGGTAACGTAGTGCTAACTGAACCTACTGCGCTTTGGGTAGTCATCCCTTCGGTTGTCGTCAAACCAGGTTGGTCCGTCGTGACCGTGGTGGTCGTTGCTTCTAAATCTCCTCCAGCAGTCGTCGTCTCCGAATTCAACTGCGCTAGGACCTCCAAGGTGCTCTTCCTGTTCGAATCCGATATCACGTTCGATATTTCAGTTTCCGGGGCAATCGTCGTCGTGGGGTCTTGACTGGACACCGTGGTAGTGTTCAGAGACGCTTGCAGTCGCGACAGAATATCCTGAGCAAAGTCTATAAGCCTGCTTCGTAGCGTGGTCACAGCAATGACCGACTCTGTAGTCGACTCCCCATCGATTACGTTATTCGATTCGGGCTCTGTTGTGGTGGCAGCGGTTGAGCCAACGTCGACTGCCTGAGTCGAGGTTTCCTCGGACAGTTGTATGGTATTGCTCTGTAGGTTTTCGGTCGTATCGGTGCTTGCGCTGTCGCTAGCAGTCGAAGTAGCAACGGTAGTCTGCGGTACGCGACCATAAAGATCCGAGCTACTTGTTCCGGGCGTTGTGCTCGTCGCGGCTGGAACATCGGTGGTAACTACCATCGAAAGACTCTCTAGATTCTGATTAGTTGGAACTGTGGTCGTTTCCGCGGCGCGACTGTTGTCTATCCTTTCGAAAACCCGAAAGCCTAGGGGAGGCTCGGTGCTGGTTGTTGTCGT